ATACGTTGCTGTAAAAGTTTTCCTCTTGCGTCGTATAAATTCCTTACATTTTGCTGTAAAGCAAGAACTTCATCGTAAATCGCTCGTTTTTTTTTCTAGAAGTAGTTGAGCTGGCTGCATGAACGGCTGCCCCCAGACGCCAGGTCTTCCAATTGCATTCCTCTATACCATCGAATATCACTGCCAACGAATTTAATAATGATAAAGCGAAGCATGTTTTTATTTAAGCCATCGATATATTTTCAATGTAAATTGGTTGAAGCCACGACCTGTAGCCATGCGATTCCTAATCATAAAAGAGTCTTCTTTTCATAAGCTTCCACGAAACAATGTTCGTAACTGTTAACTGTAATGAATGTGGCTTTTGTTAGGAAATTATCAGTATCATCTGTTCATTCTTACAGCGTTGTAGTCTGCTGGTCGCAAGAAATCTTTGCTATGCAGCAGGCATCGTTGAAGCGATCCTCCTTTGTTCTTATCTTACTTGTGAACCATAAATTCAGGCATCATACATTCTACGGACTCGTTCACGACTGTGGCAACCTGATAAAACTTTGGTGTTGTTATTTTTCATTTAAATTTAGCGTTTTAAATATTCTTCTAGGTTTTGATTTAAAATTCTGTTGTAGCAAAAGTTGTGTGAGGCGTTTGAGTTGAAATTTCTTTCATTTTAACGCAATAATATTACAAATAATATTGCATTTATTTTCAAACTTGTAGCATGAGAATAATTTCATGGCAGTATCCTTGTTTGTCGTATCACAGAACGCTGTTATCCAAAATATGCGATGATTAAATTTTTCATTGTTGGACATCGTGCAAAATTACGGGTTAAATGCAGACATATCAGCACGCGGACACGCTGCCCCGAGAATGTATTTGCACAGCCTGCAAAAAAATCACGTGTGAATGATAAGTATAAACATGTCATGGCTTCGATCTCTTTGGCCCCCTTGCCCTCAGGTAGAAATAACTACACCTGTTTCATTCAGTTCTCAGTATTTATTTGGCCAACAAATGTGTATAATTCTTGCTCGGCCTTCACTGTAACCGCGTTATCTAACCGCGTTATCCACATTCAAGAAGCTGCTCTTGACATGCATTATGGTAGAACTGAACGGAGTTGTAAGTGAACGGTTTGATCGGATTGCACCCTCGTCTCCTAACAGCTCAATGTATGTCCTCCGCTGTCCTATATAATACGGTAGGTACACTTGAGACATTACTCCAGGTATCTGATCGTTCCGACGTAAAGAAGCGATTTCGGTTTGTGCTGACCTTGCTTCCACACGATGACTCTGCAGTAACCATCACCTGACTTCCCTCTTCCAGCTCGACTTCGATGCAGCCTCTTGGGATGGTTTGGCGGGGAAAGATTGATTTGGATCATCAAAGAGTAACGGATAAGGGAGCTAATAGCTGAACATGATTCTATGAGAATGATTGGCCGGTTCAGGGTCTTGTCTTGGCTTCCATGGTAAACGATCTGTGTTTGTTTAGCGCAATTATATTGAGATTTGTGAGTTTTTATTAGCGCTTAGTAAAATAGATTTATTCTCCACTCCTACCGAATTCAAAACATATGTCCAGGTAACGAATCATGCCTAACTTGAAGAATTAGTTGTGAAATCACTTTTTGCTAACATTCATGTCTACGTAAAGTTTTTGGTATTGGCATTGTTGCCCTGGATTGTTTTCTTGCTGGCCTTTTTTTTTTTGAGGACGTTTGTACTTATGTCCTATTTGATAGGAGCAGTACACATGAATATTAAAAATTTACAGTACCAGAGTGAAGTAAAAAAGTTAAGTACCCGATTGAAGTGAAGTCCCCGATTGGGGGACACTGTACAGTTTAGGATCAGTATTGATCATATCCTATTGAATGAGAACTTTTTAATCAGTTGTGTTGCAGAGAAAAGTTCGCTTCCTACGAAGCTCTTATCGCAGTTCCCAATGCACTAGAGTCTAACTGAATACCGAATGGAGATGTTTAGGTCTGCGAACTTCTTGCCTCTACTCAAACTAACGCTTGGACCTTGACTTGTACCGCGCTATCTGACACTAATCCGCCTATATCAAGTTACTGGTGACGTCTGCTTGTCAGACGACGACTTGCGTTGTTTTCAGTCTCGCGCCCGCTTCGTTTTAAGATGAACTCATCTGCTGCCTATGATCGTCTTAACATTATTTTTCTTTGTGAGTCAATTCAAAATGGAAAATTAATTTGAAGTCTAATTCATGCCGACTTTTGTTTATGCATCATCTGCAGCTAATTTCAATGCAGGATGCTTGAAGTACAAAATCAATGCATCTGCTTTCAAATAAACTGATCGAAGAAAATGAGTTAATTTACAATTCCAATTGTTGTTGTGATTGATGCTATTGTTCAACTACCTCAAAATACGATTTATAGTTCAGGATGGTGTGCGAGACAGATGGTTAGTGCTACTTATGCTCTCTGTGATGACTAATATGTGCCAAATCTTACAGCTGCTCACTCTGCTGATGTTTTGTTATTCTCATATTCCTCGGTGCAGCAAATTTAGTTGCTGCAGCATGTATACACTAAGAAGCACGAAAAAAAGTGCCCCAGATATTAGAAATATATATTCTAATATATAGAAGTGCCCCAGAACCTCTATATATTAGAAGTTCTCTCTTGGATCCGAGCTACGCTTGGTATCGATGGTGGTCAGCGCGAGCGTTTGTTATAGCCACAAGGCCAACGATTTGCATGAAGTGTGGAGGAACGGAGAATACGAAGGCCGGGATGTAGTGTGGCAATTAAACCATGACATTTAGCGAGACAATCTCAAGCTAGTGGACCTTCCTCCTGTGAACGGTTTCGTGCCGTGCATGCGAAGCACCAACATAGTCCTACTAGCTCCTTGGTTCTGGTCGTACTATAGTGAATATCACGATAATTTAATGAAGAATTAGGGTTTGAATTAACTGAGTTTTTAGTCGGGTTCCCAAACATGTCTATTTTTAATGACTGGAAATAAAATATTTTTTATCGTGGTTGCTTTTTGACGTGAAAAATTCTAAATGTGTTTATCAAATAAGACGAAAGTAATAACCTTTAATTGGTTAATTAAATCTCAAGAATGAATTGTCCAAGAGGCATTGAGTTTCTTATGTTCTGCCAGTCCTTAAATAAGAAGGCCTTTTCCTCGAGTAGATGGCGATATCATATCACGTTGGGTATTCGCAGGATTTCCCATCATTCAGTCATGAGCGTCGGTGCTGTTCACAAGTGTTGGTGCTTTATAATAAGCAAGAAAGTAGCCCTCGTGGCGCGTAAGCTAATATGTCGTTCTCCAAAGAATTGTATCGGTGAGTGATAAACGAGTGTACTGGGGCTCTTTAGGTGTCACATGATTGTGCCGAGTATTGGTTATCCGACGACCACATATTAGCAGGGCAAGTTGGGCAATATGTTTCTCATTTCACGCCTTAATGAGCCTGTACGGTTGTTTTTATTCTTTATGATAGTTTCCAACAAAAAAGTACATATAGATTCTATGTTGTAGTACGTGCATCATATACTTCAAGATACTCAGTGCACTCATTTTTTTTAAATATAATATCATGGACCATACTTATGAACACCTTAAATCATCTATTTAAAGACATCGTAATGTTTTTTTGTCATCAATAAAATATTCAGAGCTTGAAATGTTTTCCAATTATATCGTCTTTTTACTATCAATAAACTAGTGTAACAGTATTACTTGCCTTTTTTCTTGACACACGCATGTTCAGTAAATAATTTGAGCATCACTGAATGTCCCCATCTCGTTCCTTTTGCTTTGCTTAGTATGATTAAAATTTTACTCGTAAACATGCCGGTTTTATTTCAAACCTTATACGCATTTGGAAGTTGTCCCAGCGTTTCTCCCCAACGCCCTGTAGCTTTCTATCATTCGCTCGGAGAGATTCACTAAGATGCTTTTGGGAAGTCGACTATGCTGCAGTCTTTTTTGTAGATACTTGCATGGAGACCGCACCGCTATCTCCTTAACTTCGAAAAGAATGTGACGTTTGTATCTCCTCCAACTCACTTGCGAGCAACTGGCTTATACCAGTTTGTCTTATGAACCCTCATACAGTTCCCTCCCTTTGCATGGATACAAGAGCTCGGCTTATCTACTCTTGGTCTACTTTATTCAACTCGTGATATCTCTAGTCTGAGAGTCTACCGCATGTCGCCCTTATCTACCGTTACATGTCTTATTTCGAGATGACTTTTTGTTGAAACGATGACTCAACCATGATGGCTCATCAGCTACGTGACCACGCTTGGACATAAATATTTCTAACATTTTATTTTTTAACACACCTGATCAAATATCATTGACGTCATTGGATACTCCGAATTATTTGTCTGCACCAAGTTCACTGAGATCGCTGGTAATGATGTTTTTACCGGTATATACTCGTATATACATATCTATATTAAACGAACTCGGCAAGTTTATTTTTCTTTAAGTGTACTATATCAGCGCTTACTTCGTACGTCAACACAAAAAAATAAGCGTGACAACTATGATGCCCACTTCAACCCTAAATCACCTCCATCAATGACTACTGTTGTCATGTAGCTCAGGGCATCACTCACTGGTGAGTTACACTCAGAGCTTTATGTTATCATAATTAGCGTTGGAGCCACTCTATTGATATGTTAACAAGTCATAAGTTGATAGTTTATATGTGAAAAATTCACGCTCGCGCTGGCATGATGTTCGGGTTGGTAGCATGATTCATGCTCGTTAGCTTGGTAAAGTAATAAAGTGATGTGTTTATTTAAATAATTATACCAAAATTTGGTTCTAGTTTAAAAATAAAATCAGAATTTACATAGTTTCAGTATGGATGCATTTGTCATGCGCCCTTGTAAGCAGATAGCATTCGAATAGAGATGCATTAAGACATTAGGCTCATTAATCTTAACGTTGAGTGTACTTTTGTAACTATAAGTATAATTTTTCTTTGTTCAGGTGACGACTACATCTACGGCAGTGGCCACGTTGGCGTCCAGTGCATGGGTGAGTTGCGCTTATTATATAATTATAAATATTTCAATAATTATTTTTAGGGATATCATGATTATATCATCATTCGAGAAAACCTTTAGAAATTTTCCCGACGCCTGATTTCAGAAAATGATTTTTTTCCGAGCTACTACCTTTTTTAAGAGGCCATAGTAATACCAATGATAAATTCTGAGCGATTAGATGCAAGCGGAATTTCCTGCTTGCAAAATTTTATGTTGAGAATGCATGTGTGGTGTACGTGTAAACTCATAGCTTTAACTTTACGCTGTAGTATAATACAAATTAATAACCGCTGTTGAACCGCCAAAAATTATAATGTTAGCAGCTTTTGAATTGTAGTCGAAAACAAGTTTAGACATCCAATTAAAGTCCAGATTTATTTTTAAATGTGCGTGGTTGCTTTATCCAAAGCTAGAAACTTTCATATTCTATTGTTTCATAAGTGTTATTCGATGATCACTAGTAACTATATCGCTTGCTGCTAATCCTAGGTTTTTATGTGTTCTTATTATTAATTAATTTTGAATGGTCTTTAACAATGAGGAACACATTCTCGTCTTTTTTGCGCCCCAAGGGCAAGCTTTTTGTTGTTCCCTGTCACAACCTTCAATACATTTCTACTCCATGGCGGCTCAAGGCTTCCGATGTATTTTTAAATGTTCCTATTGAGTTTTGAACTGTGTTTTAGCATATTTAAGTGGACTTATCGTATGGAAGTTGCAAAGTGTTTCTTGTACCTAATCTTTTGAAGCATATAAACGTGCTGCACAGGTCTTCGCTGTCGCTGTATAACCAACTCCCTGTGGAAGTTCACTGCTCGCTTGCCACAAGGTTTCAAATTATTTTAGTCCTTCTCATGACCTATGCCAAGGAGAACCACTGCTACGGCTTCGGCATTCTTTTTCAATAATAAACTTGTTAATGTTTCGTTGCCATAGCCAAAGGGGAGCGCCCTGCACATTTATCGGGCTTGAAGCATGCGTAACTTGACATCTGAAAGCAGCACAGCCATATAAGTCTTCATAATATCGTCTTACTGCCTTCTTCAATATTGTTTCTTAATCAGTGTTAATTAATGACATTGGTGATCCAGGAAAAAGATGCAATGCATGGCTATCTGCCCTTAGTATTCATAGTGAATCCTGTATAACTGACACAGCTGATCGGAGCCATTTTCTTGTATTATGTTTGATAGTAATTGTGTTTATAATATAATTTGAAAAAATTTTTCATTTTGTAGTCTTTAGTTGAGCGCACTTCTGCGCGCTCGCAGGCATTCTTAATCAGCTCTTCGGTTTAATCAGCTTCAATAATTTGTTTATCGATTTAATCCGCTTCATTACAGTTTCTCTCATGTTGATACGATAGCGAACTCGGCTTCACTTCCCTTCAAAAGTTCTATTACCTACAAGTAGCGAGTGCGTGTCTTTGACTGTAGAGATTGTACGGAGAGTGCGCGATGTATGAAATACGGGCGAGCAAGATTTACTTGGTGAGTTTATTGTGTGAATTTGCCAAAGTTTGGTTCAAAGTTTATCAAGAGACTGGATCTAACGACATGGGTGTTGAGGGCGCCTCGATCAGTGGGTCGTGTCGTGTGGCCTTCACGGCTGGCCGCTTGTCGCCAGGTCGTCTATGTTCTTCTCAATATATCCTTCTATGTATCCTCCAGGTCTTCTATATCCTCTTTATATCCTTCTCAATATATCCTCCGTGTCTTCTATATCCTCCGTATATCCTTCTCAATATATCCTCCATGTCCTCCATGTTCACTTCTTCCAGCTCAAAGCCTTTTTTCTATCCCAATTAAGTGTATGACTCTTGTTCTGTTAATCATTTATTATCTTGCATTATATTCAAAATTCCTCCTCAGCACTTTGCGTGCATTTAATCGATCAATTTAGTAGAATAGCTGGCCGGACTAGGCTAGAAAGTGATCGCCTCAACGAGGTTTAAAATGAAACATTTTTACAATTAAACTGGGCACGAGGCTCATGCTAAAGCGAACAAAATCATTGTTATAAAATTACAAAATACATGGATACCTAAAAAGCTTTCCGATTTCACATTAATCCTTTAGAATATCACTCTTAATGTTTAAGCAATGAGTTTGAATGAGTTTTGTCTACATTCCTTATTTGATCGTTCCTACTTTACCAGAAACGTTGGTCAGTATTCCGATACCGTGTAGTGGTACGGTTGGTATGCTGATACCGTACCGATCACAAACGTCCTCTGCCGTAAAGACGGTCGCATTGTTCCATGTAGCCTTACCGCGACCGTATGTCGAAATAGCTCTGCTTGGCTATATGTGCGTAGTCTCGTCTCGCCTCTTCGATGTCTCATGTTTCCCGTATAACCGTAAAATTGTTGACGGCCGCACTTTGGATCGGCTGTGAAAGCTTCCACATTGCTGACGTTGCCACCGGCTCGTTGCCGTATCGCTGCATTTGGTCCGAACCGTATAGGCTTGACGTTACCTTAATAATTTAGTCGCGGCCGATGCGTTGATCTTTGCAGACTTGAATGTAACAAATTCGTCGTCATCACTTGTAAATTGTAGGCGTTATTATGCCGGTGTCGTAGTTGCATCGATGACTCCGAGTACGTGGCCGTTATTGTTCGGAAATGGGAGAGGCCGCCGTCTCACGGCTTTGGTAGTCACTACGTCTATCGGAACCTCAGACCTTGAAAGGTAGCCTCTAAGTATCCCTCACGCAAATTCACGTTTTTTTTTTTGACGCTCCTAATCACATTGCCGCCTACAGTTAGCCTTAGTAGACGACACATCCCTCATCACCGGCTTTGGCATTCCTCAGGCGCCGTCCGATGTAAACAAACTCGCGCCCGCGGCTTCGATCACTCCCGTCCCGTACATTACAGCTCTTGATCTCACATTCCTAGCCATCTCAACACCCGTGCCTTACTGGAATTCATAACTAAAGTAATTTATTAATTGTCCTCAAACTTCGTTCCAAACAAAGATTCCCAGCACCGTTGTGTAATCTTCTGAAAACTCGGGCAGGAAAACGATTGTTTATTTAGTGCAGGTATCTCATAAGACAAATATACAAGTTCTGAATTGATTCCAGAAAAATTATACGATCCGATGGAGCACATAAAGGACGTTGTATAACATTTATTTACATAAAAATTTCGAAATGAGTTATTTCAACGTTTTATGTGTTGGCTATCATAATGCATGATCGCATTCCAAACTAAAACAGTAGTACTAGATTAGTAGGAAAGATTGGTCGCAGTACGAAAAAGAGCTAAAATTGCGACAGTTTCTGGATGGAAATTACAATTAGAAAATTACGCGGGTAGAAAATTATGAAAAATCCATTTTAATCGTTATTATGCTCATCATTCATTCGCTAACAAGAAGATCCAAGAACTTATTAGCAGTTCCGGCCATAGAACGTGTACGTGTGGCATGATTTGACGCGCGTCATCAGCTAACGTTGAATTCAACGGAACCTCGCGCGCTGCTAGAAATATCGTCTCCTCTGATCGCTTCCTGCTCCTGCCACCTCGACATCCAGGCATTTGTTCCAGTTTTTTTCCGTGTCATGCCTTGACCGTGTCGTGGACCCTATTTGTAATTACACGCTGTGTTGCAAGCTTTATTGGCGTTACCTTAAATCAATTCATCGCCGAGTCAGCATCAGGTTTTTATGTGTTCCCCCACCTTCAATTTTCTCTTTTGAAATTCGACGTTGTTAGTGCTTCATCTGTATGCCCGCTAATGCTGCGGTAACATCCTATTGCAACACCTGTACTTATCTCCATAGTCTAAGCTGTCAAAGTATACGCACGTTTGATATTTTTACAAGATATTCACATCCCGTTTTTTTTTCTTTAAATATTGACTCATCCAACAGTACCGCCTATTCTAATGCTAGAATTAACTTGATATGAATGAAGTTTTGTAACTTCCTTTTTTATAATTGAGCTTTATATTAAGTTGTATCAGAAGTTCGACCCTTTTTTATTTAAAATAATGTAGATACTATAAAAATATATTAAATTCGTCTTCATAATTGGCACAATTTTTATTAATTACATCTTAACATCTTGACATGAGCTTTCTTATTAATTTCTTATAAAATTTAGATTGTTTGTTGAATTTTTCACAGAAATTTTTAGAGTAAAATGTGACTGATATTCTCTCTCCGCGGAGTGACCATTATGGGGCTAAAATTTGTTATCAATAACAACAATTATCACGAAATTTGGAGAAAAAAAAATAATTTCATTAGTTACTTATAATATTAGCAAGCTAAATTGATAAATAGTCGTGCCCTGAACATATGTTAAGATTTGACAAAATTTCCGTTGAACCTTTATCGGTAGGTCTAGCCATGTTATGACGATCTCACATTTCCGCATCCCGCATATATTCTCTCATTTATTTCCGCATGATCACTATACGTTTTCGTTTAAACTATATTTTTTGGGGGCGCTATATTCAACATGTATTTTGTTAGATTATTTAGGACAATTTTGTTTCTAGTTAACACTGTTTCGTATTAGTTCCCTAAAATGTTTGTTTTTACAAATTGTCGCTATTTGTAGGCATATCAATGTTTCAATTGGGTCACAAGCTGCTCGCTTGTTCTAATCTTATTGATCGCCATGAAGATTATTACCGGCAATAGTCGTATTAATATCCGGTATAGGCGTATTTATTGATCTATTAACAATATATGGTTATTAAGTTTCAAGTTCCAACAGAAAGAAATAAATATCGCGGGCTCTTGGGCTTGGATGCGTGACTGTTGCAACCTGACATTTTCAAGATTTTCAAGAATGCAACGTGAATTTTGCAAGAATGCAACGTGAATTTTGCAAGAATGCAACGCAAGAATTTTGCAAATCCTCTTGTTTAAAACTTAGTTAGAAATCGTTATTAGCGACAATGGTTGACCACGCTAGCTGTTCACGGAGCGTCGTCTGTATCGTAAGCCACAAAACGCTGTAGCACTTCG